TTAGGATCTAATAGATCGCTACCCTTAGAGAGGAAGAAGAATTAGAATTATAAGGGTAAAGATGTAGCAATGTATTAGACACCCGTAATTACTCGATTAGAGATAAGACTAATTCTTGTAGGTTAAATATGCGCTATGCGTAGGAGTTATGTATGCGCTAAGCCTACGCTAAGCAGTTAGGTTACATTACACTCCCTTCTCTAAGGTTAGTTAATCTAGCTACCTCTATTAATTATATTATTACAAGGGCTCTTACACGGCCCTTATACTACGCTATATTTATAGCTAGAGTACGTCGACGCTATCTTCTTCTAATGTTTAGCCTATAAAGAACCCGCCTTTTTAGTAGTCCCTACCGAAGACTAGAAAAGCGCCTATCCGGCTAGGTTAATCTATATTATAGCCGCTAGAACCTATAGACTCGGCAATTTCTCCTAGCTAATCTCCCTATACGGTCTCGTAGATTTTTTAGTAAACTTACCGGCGGTAGTCCTATCTTCTAGAGCGACAGTAATGTAGTTAAGGCCCCGCTAAGCGCAATCTATAGATTTGGGTAGCATGCTATTATACGCGTAGTATATAAGAATTGCTAGAAAGGAGTTAGCGTTATACTATCGACTACGAGTAGCGTTACGAGCTTCTACGGTAATATCGTTAAGGCGATATATGTATTACRTTAGAGCTGCGCGATATTAGCAAGTATGCTCGTTGCTTTTCTAGTAGTAGAGCCTAACCTTAAAACGTCTCCCTAAGTGTAAATCCGAATCCGGACAACTCGGAGAATAAGAGACCGTCTAGAAAGTTGTATACGCTTCTATCGTTAGAAGCATATAGATAGCTTAGTAGAGTATGTGGCATTTTTGCTAGTTCTACTATAACGTCTACTAGTCTAAATAGTCCCGCCCGATCTAGGAACTCGGTAGTAGAACATACCGCGCTTAACATCCTTAACTAAGAACCTATAATGTCTTCTAATATAAGCATATTCGAAGCTAAATTCTTAGCCGCTTCCTTAGGCTTTATATTACTATCGCAGAGGTCCTAAAGCGTGCGCAGAATGCGACTATATAAGGAATTTCGATCTATAGTAGTAACCTAACTCTCGTTACCCGGTAGAGACGGGTTAAAATTCGATGCGCTAAACTAACGGGTAATTGCACGTAGCTGTTCGCTATCCTAGGAATTAGCTATTATTGTTATTAATAATGTTAGAAGTATAAGGTATAAGATGCAGGTAGAAAGTTTAACCCGATGTCTCGCTGTATTATAGAGGGCTAAGCTGTATATAATTTGAAATTTAATAAGTATTTCTTATAACGAGTAGCATATAGATAATTATAGGGRGTAGAATAAGTTGCTTATATAAGTCCCGCATGCATTGCCTCTACTAGTGCGCTCTGTTTAAAAGCTTAAATGTTAATTACTTCGGGAGGTTTACTACCTATAAGCAGTAATTATGCCCTTAGCACTCCCTTAAACAAACTTATATCTACTAGCACATTATCGACCCGCGATCGGATTCTCCGGTACGTTCTTAGGAAAGGGAACTTTAGCTTACTAATACTTATAGAGATCGTGAAATTTCTCGATACGTATAAGACTTTTAGTAGTTAGTAGCTCTAGGTAATAGAAGAGTTTTATCTTTCTTACTAGAAACTTCGGCTAGATTTAAGGGTATCTTATACCGTATCTACTACTTAATCGTAAACGGTAGTTAAACTCTACTCTTATCTCCTTAACTAGACTTATACCCCCCTTATCGGCAGCGTAGTAACCTTAATCGTTTTTAAAAGTTAACCCTACTAGATCTCGACTAACGACGTCCTTTATAAACTACCTTAGAAGTACTATAGAAGTTATTAATACCTATAGAAATTATTATATACTATAGAAATTATTATATACTATAGAAATTATTAAATAGCGTAGAAATTATTAGAAATAGTTCGTTAATTATAGTAAGTAAAAACTTAATATATATATAACGTCTCGAAGTCCGTATAGTAATACTAAGAGTAATAGCGCTAGTTATTACCGGCTAATATTACTACGTAGATATTCTAATTTAGTACGTAATCTAKCTATCCTATTAGTCGACTAGCTCGGACCGTCTCGAACCGGTATTTAAGAGTAGATAACGTTAGTAACGTAAGTAAACGTTAGTAACGCTACTAACTTTTTAGTAACGTTAGTAACGATACCTCTATTTAAGAAGTTCGACGACTATCGCGTATTTAGGTTATCTAAGCTTACTTTTCGACTAGTTCTTTATCTCTTATATAACCCTTGACGCTTCGGCTTTAGGATTCGTAGCTTTTATATTAAAAGAAGCGATAGTAAGTTAGGCGTACTTACCGCGACCGTTCTTAGCTATAAATTTCTTAAGAGCGGTATTCTTTACCTACGAGTAAACCTAAAGAATAAAGTTCTATTTATCGCCTATCTTCTTATCCGTATTAACGCGTAATTAGGTATCTATATCCTCGCGCTTATCTATAGAGGTAACTCGACGGCCTAGTATATATATCTTAGTAGTTATAACCTTCGTAAGGGCACCTATAGTAAGCTTATTAGAGAAAAGGGTAAGCTTATTAGAGAAAAAGGCTTCGATAGCTTTCGAAATTTCTTAATAGTAGGATTAATTATATAACCTAGGTTAAAATCGTTAATATCGAGTATCGAGCTTTTAAATATTAGCTATTAAATAGTAGAAGGGTTAGATCTATACTCTTAGGTTAATATATATATTCGTTACTTTTATTATAGAATAGCTCGTAATAGCTCGTAAGGGCTTAAACGRGTTAAGCTATATTTAACTTATATATAACTACTAGTAGCGTACGATACGTTAGGTAGTTCTATTCTATATAGCGCTACTAGAGAAGTTGTCTTTTAGCTTTAATCTATTAGCTATAGTATTACCTTATCGGATAGTCTAAGGTAAACGCTATACGTTAAAACTATTTAAGCGATATCTATAATAGAAGGAGGATTTCTATTCGTAGAATTAAGCTAGCGCTTAAGCTATAATATAGCGTATTACTACGGTATATAAGGTAGATATTTATACTCGGCTAAGACGGATACTCGAAGGTATTATATCTATCTTATTAGGTCGGAAGCTAGCCGTAGTATAGCACTATATATAAATTGCCTTTAGCTAACCGCGGGCACCTTTATAGGCGTTCCTATTAGGCAGATAATATTATAGCGGGGTAAGGTAAAGGGTTAACGGATCTAGGGACGGGAGGATCCGAGCTTAGTAGCGTAGGATATCCGTTTTCCCGAATACAGGTCGGAGCTGCTTGGCMAATGCCATTGTCCAAAAGTCTGGATGATGCCTATCTTGCGATTCACGAAACTTGTTAATGCGACTTCAAGGCAGCTCAATTTGGTCCGAGGCTTTGCGATGCGATACCGCGCAAGTCAGTTTTCTCCGCGTACGTTGCACGATTCGCCACTCAAGGGAAACTTCGTCTGACAAGACATAGCATTCGACCCTTACTCTTACTCGCGCGGACGTTGGTTAGATCGAGACGAACAACGGCAGAAGGCCAGAAGACTTGATTTTAATTTCGAGGCTTTACTCAATGTGGCAGTAAAGTGCAGTAATGGTGCTCGCGAGGTTGTGGCTTGTGAGAAAAGAGAAGGCGGGTTCAACCGTGTGTTTATCATCAAATTGGACAACGGAGCAAAGGTCGTTGCAAAGGTACCTATGCAATTCGCCGGTCCCGCTGCTTTGACGACCATGTCAGAAGTAGCGACCCTGAGATATGGTATGTTGCCCCCCAACCACTCGAGATCCGGGACCATAAGCTGACATGTTGCAAAAACAGTGAAAGACAAGACATATGTGCCTGTCCCTCGGGTTCTCGCTTGGAGCTCGAAGTCTGGGAGTGGATCAGTGGGGATCGAATATGTCATCATGGATGTCTGGCGTCGCTCTGAAAGATATCTGGGGCAGAATGACCGAGCTTCAGCATCTTGAACTCATCGAATCTGTGGCAGGATTGGTGAAAGAACTATGCGCTCTCGACTTTAGAGCCTTTGGCTCACTCTATTTCAACACAGCGGAAARGCCCACAGGATCGCTCCCCATCGATGAGGAGTACTGCATTGGTCCACACTGTGGCCGACAATTTTGGGGTTACAACAATGACCTAACGATTCAAGACACGATTCCCTTGGGTTCGCAAGGTCCATGTACGTTTGCATACACCACCGCTTTTTGTTCTTGTCAGCTGATCCCCCTCAGGGCAAAGCTTGTCTACCTTTTTCGCAGCTCTCTGTCGTATTAGTAGAGTGACTATAGACAAACGCGGGTCTCCCGGAAAAACAGTTGAGAATCATTCACGGCTTCTGGAATCGAGCAGGAAGATCTTAGACGTTGTTGGAGAATCCACAGCCCTCCAGGAATACTGCAGCCCTTTGCTGCTCCACCCCGACTTACACGCACGCAATATCTTTGTCGACCCAAACGATCCGACAAAGATTCTGGGTATCGTTGACTGGCAGTCTGCTGCAATCGAGCCTTCTTTTGTTCATGCTGCAGAAACACCGGATTTCGCGGAGGAGCCATTGCTAGACAAGACACTAGACGCAGACGTTCTTCACGACCCTCATGAGCAGCTACAAGCGCATGCTCGGCGCTGCAAGAAAACCTGGGCCGTCATGATTCTTCTGTGTCCGAAGCTGGGCAAGGCGACGACTCTGAACACTGCTCTCTGCCGCTATCTCGCCAACGTTAGTTCGGGATGTTCTAACGAGCCGATTTTGCTGCGTTCGTTGCTGACGGATGTGAGTAACGAGTGGAGTGATCTTGGCCTTCCAGGCGTTTGTCCCTATCAGCCGAGTGAAGAGGACATAAAGTCACTAAGTGTGGAGCTAGACCATTTGGAATCCACGCAGAGACTGCAGGCGTTTCTTTCGAGACTGCTACGCTGTGAACTAGATGGCTGGATTGAGGAAGGAAGATGGGATGAAGTCGTCCCAATCTATCGAGAGCAGTACGCTGAATTCGTGAGTGCATGTATCGAAAGTCGGGAACAGGATGAGACGGTGCAACAAGCGGAGGAAAAGGCGAATAAGCTGTGGCCTTTCGATCTGAGATGAAAAAATTCCCATTGGCCCATCTTACAAGTAGATCAGACGTCAGGTGCTGTTTGGTTCCAAACCGAACAGACCCCTAGGTACTACCTAAACCCACGCATCGAACCAGCCCAGCAGACCTCCCGCCATCGTCACCACCACCGGAACCCACATCGTATGCTTCCACGCATCTTTCCCAATCTGCCTTTGACTCATAATGCCATCGCAAATCGCCACTCCAGCTCCAGCCAAATAAGTGTACCCCATCGTCGTTCGACTCCCACCCGCGTATGCCGCCATACACGTCGCTGCCATGTAGAGATCTCGCGAAACCCAGAAGAGTAGTAAATTGGTTCCGAGCTTCTGCGCTTCGGGTGTCGAGGGCTTTCCAAAATTGAAGAGGGTGAAGCCGTTAGCGGGATTCACCACACCGATGAGACCCAGTGTGAGGGGGAACAGTGATAGGAGTCCGGCGGCGTGCCAGAGTTGAGGCGAGCTGGAGTGAAGGATTGAGGCCATGATTGATTGCGGTGGGAGGTGATTAATGGTTCTGCTTTCAGAGGATGAAGCGGAGAGACGAAGGTATGGTCATGTCAGAGATGTTGAGTATGCGCGGAGAGGCGCGGATGCTAGTCAGCGGCAACAAGTAGGACAGGGGTCCTTGTTATTTGAGACACTGACCCCGTAGGGAATAATCATGGCCTGCGTCGGTAAAAGCAGAGCGGTTGAGGTGTACATGTATAGAGATCTTTGGAATCAAAGGATCTGGTAGGACCAATCGGCCTGTTACACCGAGGCCGTATGCGTTGATATACAGCCCTATAGTCCATGATCTATAGGAGCCAAAGTTGTAAGTGGCCAGATATAGCTACGTTGCCTAAAGTTGGAACTATCTGACAGCTCAGCGCCTGTGATACGACTACTACCATCTATCTGGTCCTACTACTTTCAATACTTAGGGCTTTTGACATCAAATTATCAAAAGCCCCTGGCACGAAATCGACAAGATTAGGGCTACTTTCGGGATCCGGCAAAGGACTTTCGAATAAACATGCCTCGGTAGTTTCACAGCTACAACAAACGTATCTCTCCATCAATCTTGTAGACTATGATCTTTCGCCAGCAAGATGGCCACTATAACAACGACAGAAGTCACTCCTCCAACAAGAGACAGCAGTGTGGCCGAGCCAGACGTTGAACTTCAGCCCACACAAGCTCGAACATGCTCTCCGTTCGTAGACTTCGTCGAGAGCGAATCTACGCAGCAGGTCGAGCCCGAATACCCAACGGGTAGCAAATTCTGGATTACATATCTCGCAACATGTATGGTCCTTGTCCTCGGTGGTCTGGATGCAAATATCGTCGCCACAGCTGTGCCCAGCATTACCGATCATTTTAATACTGTGGCCGATGTAGGATGGTACTCTTCTGCATTCCGGCTATGTAGCTGTGCGTTGCAGTTTGCCTTTGCGAAGATTTACACCCTCTTCCCCAGCAAATCAGTCTTCCTCGTAAGCAATGCAATCTTCCTGATTGGGTCTTTAGTGTGTGCCGCTGCCACGTCGTCTCCCATGTTTGTTGCCGGCAGAGCGATCAATGGTGTTGCATTTGCTGGCCAGCTTTCTGGCTGCTTTGCTATCTTGGTAGAGATCCTACCACTGCAGAAACGTCCGGTCTTTGCGGGTTCAGGGGCGTGCGTGGAGTCGTTGGCAATTATTGCAGCGCCCATRGTGGGCGGTGCATTGACGCAGTCTCTAGGGTGGAGGTGGTGCTTTTGGTAAGTCATGTCTGTCCCAAGCACGACCGGACTTGCTGAGACGGAGTCGCAGGATCAATCTTCCCCTCGGCGCTATGTCACTAGCCGTGATATTCTTCGTCTTCCCGACCTCGCCAGCACGTCCTGCACACCGGCTCAGCTTTAAGGAGAAGCTCAGGCAGCTAGATCTTCTCAGCACCTGTCTGTGTATTCCATCACWCACAGCCTTGTTCCTGGCACTTTCCTGGGCGGGGACCAAATATCCTTGGTCCGATGCCCGGGTTATCGTCCTGTTCGTTGTCTTTGGTGTACTGATGGCTGCGTTTTTGTTCCAACAGCACAGGCGGGAAGATCAGGCTATCCTTCCATTCCGCATACTCAGGAATCGGAATGTCATTGCAGGTTTCATCTTCACAWCATTCACAAACTCATTGACGAATGTCCTCGAGTATTATCTTCCAACTTATTACCAAGTTGTTCGGTCTCGCGTAAGATCTCACCTTTGTCAATTTCTTCAAGACTCCTTGCTGATGACAATTCGATCAAAAGACACCGAGTGAGAGTGGCTACCTGATGATACCAATCCTCTTCGGAATGATGCTCGGATTGTTCATACAAGGAATCGGTACTTCCGCTTTCGGCTACTACAAGCCCTTCATGATACTAGGATCCATATGCATGCCCATCGCAGCCGGCTTAATGACAACTTTTGATCTGCACACCACTCTAACCAAGATCGTCCTCTTCTCGGGGTTTGTTGGCTTCGGCGGCGGCATCGGGTTCCAGGGTTCAATTGCAGCCGTGCAGACAACACTCAGTCCTGAGGACGTGAATCTTGGAACTGGCGTTATATTATTCGGACAGAATGTTGGGCCGGCGGTTTTCATCGCCGTTGTCCATGTCATTCTCACTAACCGACTGCTATCAAGTCTACAAGGCATTGTCCCAGGCTTGACTCCTGAATTCCTCGAAGAGAATGGACTCGGCAATCTAAAGAGAGGAGTGCCAATGGAACGATGGGATGAACTGTTTGCTAGGATTAGCGACAGCTTGACTACCACCTGGTATCTGCCAGTCGCACTAGGCTGCTCGACGATTGTAGGGAGCTTGCTGGTTGAATGGCGTTCGGTCAAACAGAAAAGGTCATGAACACACATATCTTTGACTATGCGGCGAATAGATCTATCATTCAGCTTTCGTCGACTACTATCGACCCAGGGACGAATGGCGACGTTGTTAGGAATGAAGTTCCGGGTAATGGTCGCTCAACTTCAGCTGATCGACAATCTAATGGAGAACAAACGAATCTTGGCCACCAAAGAATCCTCATATTGGAAGCTCTGGTCTGGATTCTCCGGGTGACGTTGGAGGAAGCCATGCTCCATTCAAGATCCTGACATCTTGACCAACCCCATCCACGATGTCGATATCCACGACACTGGAGCTTCGCGCGATACCTTCCGCTTCCAACCCTTCTGCTTCAGAACAAATTCGAACAAAGAAGTTGCTTGGTCGATTTTGCTTGCAAAGAGCCCACCTGTCCCTCGATGTCAACCCCTTGGCCTTTAGAACGACGAGTATACTACGCAGGGTCTACAAATCACAACGACGTATTGCGCGGACTTCGAAATGGACAGCTTAAAGAGCTATGGAAGTGTACATACCTCCGCCATAAGACCATCGCTAACCAGATCCTTGCAAAACTGAGCGATCCCTGCGATTTACTTACTCATGGCTGTAAAGGTAAGAGTATAGCTCACTCTCAGCACGTCAGGGTTCGCTCTGTCGCCGTACAGCTTCATCATCTTATCATAAGCCCCTTCAACCGAGCCTTTCCGTCCAACCTCCTCCTCCAATATCCTCTGAAAGTCTTTRATGTATGCTCGCGTAGAGGCAATATTCCAGGCCCCATGAATTTCTTCAGCTTGCTGATGACCAGCCACAACATACAATGGCTTAAGATTTTCCACCAAATCAATCGCACTCAGCCATTCGTCCCGCTGTTCCTGAGTTGTGGCAATAGCTAGCATTTGATGAACTTGTCCGTAGATGACATCTCCAGCCACCACGAGCTTCAGGTCTGGAATCCAGAGGATCGTTGTGTCGTGCGTATCCGAGTGTCCGACTTCAATTGCTTCACATTGCCATTTACTCCCGATGAGAAATTTGTTACCAATTGGCAAAGGGTCCGGAAAGATGAAAGGCTTCGKGATGTTCTCTCCAAACCAGGCTCCCCACGTCTGAGAGAAGGCTTCAGGTTCCACGGCTTCTTTGGCATGCTTGATCGTTCCGTGGGTGCCGAGAACCCTGGCATGAGGGAAATGCTTCAGAATGATTGGGAGACCAAACCAATGATCTGGGTGGCCGTGAGTGATGTACACCGTTTCCAGCTGTCGACCTGGCGCTATCTTCAAAATCCAGCTCACTAGCTCTTCGTTCTGCTCGGTTGTAATTGGAGTATCTACAAGCAGAGCATGGTTCTCGTCGTAGACCAATGTACATGAAATGGGCGACCAGTTGGCTACGAAACCAGGACTTTCCAATGGTATAGGTTTCGCCACGAAAACAGCTGCTCGAAGGGATGACATTTGAGCACGACTCTTTGTGGAAAGTGAAGGGTTTCAATGGATGTGAAAATTAAAGTGGTCGTGGTGGTTTGCGACATATACTTATACTATCAGTGGCAGAGGTGGGTGTTGGATCTGAGTTGGGACTGTAGTCTCCGCTMTCATCTTCGGTTTTGATTAACGATATCTTCCGAATCGACCGCGGTGGGCTCACTAATACTATGCACCTACAAGAATTACTTCTGAAATGACCCCAGTCGGTTCACTAATCATACAGCAGAAAGTACTTTTGGAAATTCCGTGGCCGGTTCACTAATCCCAGAGACTTGCAAGAACGAGATGATTACTATCGAGTGAGACTACGGACGTAAGAAAAGCCGGTCGATGCATAGCTTGGTGATGGATTATGAAAACATATCGGCCCCAAAGCCTACAGGGAATCCTATATAAACTACACACCATCACATCATATCTCCACCAACACATCATCAAGTCTGGCAACAAAAGAATTCACTCATTCAAATATTATCCACCACAATCACCATCACCATCACCATGCCAATCTGGAAATTCCACCACCACCCAGACATCTTCACCGACAATTCCGAAAGGCTCGCCATCGCCCGGGCCGCAACAGCCTTTTACGTCAGCCACGGCATACCAGACTACTACGTCAACATCCAATTCTTCCCCCTAACTCCAAACGAATTCTACACAGGCGGCAACCCCATCTCAACAACCGTCTTCGTCGAAATCACCCACGTGGCTCGACACTGGGATCCCACCGACAATGCAGCCGCATTGAGGATGAAGGATTCCTTTGACAAGATCCTCATGCCCTATACCACGGACCGCGGTCTTCACTTGGAGTATTGCGTGCATGAGAGTCCTGCTGCTTTGTGGAGGATTAATGGGATTGATCCTCCGGAGTCTTTTGGTCCTGATGACCAGGAACAGGCAGTGAAGAATAGGGCGAGGTTGAATCAGCTTAGGGCAAACCCGAAATAGGGCAGACCTGGAATACTATAGGGCAAGTTTTGAGCAATGCTATTCTTGATCCTACGCTTGGTGCGAAAAGTTGTATTCCTGTGAGAGGCGGAATCGGAGCGGGCAAAGGTGGGAATGGAATGGCACTGATTGAATGAAGCTCGGACTCGGCGATGGCAGGGGAATAGAAATGGTGAGTTATGACGAATTCGTTCGTTGATGTTGATGATGTTTCTTGAATTCATTTACGTAGTTAGCAAGGATTCCACTGCGAGATTTTCCTTTTTTGACTTTCGTGACCGTGCAGATACAAGGTATATATCATGGCAGCTATCCGCCAGCCTCCATCCCATTTCCTTAACTTCACAAGCAACATCAACACCTTTTTTTTCTCTGTCCACAAACGCACAAAGACCGAACGTAACGATATCAATGCACCAAACGTTACCAGTGCACARCATGAAACTCGTCGCTCAAATCATCGCTATCGCCATCGCCATCGGCCTTGTGGCCCCAATGGTAGCAGCCGCAGTACACCTTCCCTTCCCTTCCCTTACATTCCTAGCTTTTCTGTATTACTTGAGCTAACGCAGATGATGTGTACTTTTAGCCCGAGGATTATTGCACACATCAAGCGGATCCTAACGAATGGTGTCGAGAGCGTAATTCTTGCCCCGCTGGTTCAGGCTTGGATGAGCATTGGTATGAGACTCTTGCCTCTCGTTCTTACAATGAATTGTATATGCTAATCTTGATCGTAGCACACCTGACGGCGACTGCAAGTGCTTCTAGACGTAGCTCTTGGTATTTACGAGGCGGACTGTTGGTCTGGCTATGGAGTCGATCGGAGTTGATTATCGACTCTATTCTGGAGGGTCTTAGTGGCTTGGCCAGACCTAGGTGTGGTTGAATGTACCCTCTATTTTACTTTTCCTTTGCTTCCCTCTGGTGCGAACTTAGAGGAGGAATCTTAGGAACAATCTACCAACAACTACACTATAGTCTAGCGGCAACTACCCGCGGTTGAGATAGCTAGCATGCTCGTACGGACGTTCTTACGCTATATAGCGGCTTTTTTGCGATTTCTTAGTATCGCTAGCGTTAGGATTGAGGGACTATTTCACAGGTAAGTGAGTACATACTTTTTTCTAAATGGGTTAGTCGATTACGGCTCTGTCTACACACACTCCGATAGACTTCATCTTTCGTGCAAGCGAACTTAATAGATGTTACCTTGTCTTGCTGTCAAAGCGGGTACTATTATCGAGGCGAGAAAGCTTTGTCCGTAAATGTAGCTCGGGAATATCACGAGTTCTAAGTCGAAAAGTAGGTCAAGACTGAGTGACTGGTATCACAAGAGAAACGAGTTCATTGATTCAGTTGTACATGAAATCTGTGACAGAGCAATAAGTAAAGCTCTCTTGCCGAGCCTGCCATTAGTCTCCGGTGCAAATATCGTGAATTGAAGTCGCTTCCAGCAATGATGATGGCAGTCTCCACCGTCAAGTCCACTCATTTGAGCTTCATTACGGGCAGTAGGCCACCAATGGAGACGAACAACCCTCCGATCAGCGTGTCCTTGAGAAATTCCACGGCGACAAAACTTGTGTAACACGCAGCGAAAATGTGCAGAGTCTGATTGTTGATACACAGCTTCAGGGGAGGACTTTCAGACACTGGAGGCCAGTCGGGACGACGTGGGTTACTTATACAACGTCGTGAGAGTATGTTATATTAGTGATTATCGGTCATCAGAGTCGTTGTTGCGTCCACAACTTCGACGCCCTCGCATGAGCATCCGCATTGGGATTTGAATGCGATCTTGGCAATGATATCGCATTGTCACTAACCTAATTTATCATTGACGAAAAATGCCATTGGCGAGATATGGAGACGCTCCATTACTTAACTCACACTGTCATGGACCGAGTAGCTTGTAAGATCATTGTGGAGTTCAAAATCCGTGCTCACCACCTGCATGTGAATCTTGGCAACCTAAAATTGAGGACGACAAAAAATAGGAACGGAGTTGCGCCGGTATGATGGTCATACTGATATCAAGTGCTGAAAGACGATTTACAATAATCTATCTAGACAATTTTTCCTGAACCCTTGGGGAAAATTTCATCCGCCTATAAGGGTTTGCAAGGAACGAAATTGTTTCCAGGGGCTCCAGAATGAGTCATAAGTCCGCAGCGTAGAGTTTCGCCTGCGGTTCCAACTCGAGCAATCACAACACGATCTGTTTTGGGGTCCGCATTATTAGTAAAGGCTCTCCCGTTACGGAGGATGGGGAATTCTCGATAATCGATCAAAGCTGGGTTATTGTTGCACTGAGCGTTTTCGAAGACGACGGGACCAGGAGGGTTATCTTGTCGATTGCCAAAGTACGCTGGGTACTGCCCTTTTGGTTCAAGTTAGTTAGCAAGGTACTTTTTTCCAATCGAGAAGCTGAACTTACTAGAGTTTGCGCCTGTGATGAAAGGGCCTCTAGCATACCGTTTCTCAAGCTCAGTGTACGCAGCATCGACACGAGCTTTCGGATGAGGGGTCTCTGTTGCAGTTGTAAGCCACAAACAAAACATTCAGAGCTGAGTTGCTTTGTTACGTACATTGTTGGCCGCATTGCCAGTCGCCATCAGCCCGGTCCATCAGCATGGCGCCGGTATCATTCCTAGGCAGTGGACTGGATGTCACTTGCCCAATGGCCACCACTAAGGCGAGGAGGTAAGATGAGAGGGAAAGCTTCATATTATCGGTTGTTCAGTCGCTGCTTGATATGAATTTTCCAACAGATGAGCGACCATTGACCGTATATATGTACGTAGCAAGCGCTCCATGGTGTATAGTCGATATTCGCTTACTGGCAGACTGAAAGCAATGCTTACTTTGCGTATGTTACGTTGAGAAGTTTCTCCGGCCTCGAGCACCTACAAGTAGGTTTGGATTGTATTGCTAGTCCTCATGCTAGACTTGTATGCAGCGTAAGCAACGCTTACTGGACTACTACGCTATCTGCAGCGTGCAAACCACTATAGCGACTGATGTTTCGAGTCGAGTAAAGATACGAGGAGAACACCTAGGTTGTTGAGTCGAGTGGTTGATGTATCGTCCATGTGGCCAGCAATGCGATAGCCAACATTCAAGCAGTAAGAGAGCTTTCCGTTAAGACTCCTTGTGAACGAGCAAGAGGAAATCAACTATCGAGAAGGCATGGTGTAAGACGACATGAGCTCGTATTATCTTTACTAAATGATGGCTCGCCTTCTTGCCGATCTGTACACCTCCCACATAAATGCGGGCTTTCGATGTTAGAGACGCCAAGACCGGGTGTTAGGTAGTTCAGGTTTCGAAAGCACATGTTCTCAATTCCCAGAATCCGATTTTTTTCTGGAAACCAGTGGTTTGCACCTCTAGATCCTCAACGATACAAAGGCACAGTCCATGTACTCAGTAAGGAGTACGTGATGGGATGTTCCCCAAAGGGGGTTGCCGGGAGGAGATGAGCAAAAAAGTGCAAAAAAGTGCTAAAAGAAGTTTGACATTCAACATTTGGGATTCCCCAGTGGTCACCCACCTGAGTACTGATCAAAGGATTACATGGTTCAATAGGCCAGAGCGGACGGGATGGCTTGCTTTCATGCATCTATGGTCGAATGTGCAAATCGTGGCAAAAATAAGGTATATATATGTAAAATTTGCGAAACTCCTCTACATTCGATCTGCGGCTTTGCTGCACAACTCTCTCATGCCGTCCCCTAGAATGATATCTGTCTCCGCAAGCGTTACAAGCCTTTGACGCCAAAAATGTCATCGCTCCATTGTAATCTCGTCGCTACCGCCAAGTCTGCTCCAGATTGGACCCGGAGGATGCATTGCACTAGATATGCCATCAAACAGACCACGCCCGAGTATGGAAAGCCACTGTGTGGCAGCTGGCATCTCCAGACTTGGCTGTGGAGTTCTGAAAGCGGTCCAGTCTTGATCGGGCATTGTCGTCAATCCGTCTGCGCCTTGTTTTGCTTCATTCTCGCTGAGTTCGTGCTCGAGAGCGGCTACTATTGTATAGCATGCTAATCCACGGCTGTCAACACACTTCGGTTTCAGACTTCCCTGTATATAGTGACGGCTGAGGATTGCGGCGAAAGTACTGATATTCCGATGTAGAGATCTCACGGCAATGGGGACAGACGCATCGACCTTTATATCCGTCATTGACTTTGGTGCTCGAGCAGCGGTATCTGCGTGTTCATCAAGTGGTGGCATGAAACGCAGGCCGTAACATTTTGGACCTGACGTAGATGTCAGACTGTAGCTTCCAAAAGGCCATCTATCGTGTTTCACCTTGTAGGTGGCCAGCGAGCTCTTGGCCAAATCCAGGTAGCTCCTTAAAGCTGCTGGAACCTTGCACTGGTTCATCGCTATCGTACGGATAGGCTGGTAGAGCATATGACAGCTTCGCCATTTCTACTACCAAGTCTCCCAGACGGACGAGCTTCTGCTCGGGCCAAGTTTCTCCGCGGCGACAGATCTGGCCCCAGAGACTGCAAGCGTCGCGGCTTTCAGATGAGCATTGACGAGACATGGTAGAGGCAAGAATGTCGGCAGCGGTCTTTGTGTCCAACTTGTCCTCTAGAAAGCCTTGGAGCGTGCGTATAATGCGTCCTTCGGGGGAGCTGGGGGTGATGGCTCGAATCATGTCCTCGTATTCTTGAGACCGTGATGGAAATGTAGGATCGTGTTCGGCTTGGCTCAGACTTGGCTGAGTCGAGTCGAGGATCGCGGACAGCTCTTCTGGATCCCAAGTCTCTGCCATCTTACAGCTTCTCTGCAACGAAGTGTGCTGATGGAACCAAACAGGATAAGTAGGTATAGACAGAAAGAAGAGACGCAAAATCTGTTGAACTTCGATGGCTGGGACTGCCGGGGCCGCGCTCAGCAGGCTAGGTTATTTCACTACAGTAAGCACATGAAATAAGCAGGCCAAGGAAAGCTCCTATACTACCTGTCGAATTGGAAAGTCAAGGTATTATCATGACAGACTGGTGCCTGGAACTCCACGATTTATGCTTCTCCGAACAGCCAATGGGATGGCATCACATCACGCATGATGCCGATCCATCCTTGGGGAAATCGTCCGCACATGGCAGTAGAAACACCACGCCACCCCCAAGGCTTCAAACTGCACCTCACTTCAATCACCACACTGCCCAACTCCATTGTTTACAGACAAGCATACCTGTCACTCGCAGCCTCCAAAGCCACAGAGCTGCTCTTGCTGTTGCGTTGGTGCTACTGGATACCACCGGCATTATAGTACGTCGGTGGGGCCGTCATCCGTCTTGGAACTCTGGACTACTGCATGTCTGCAGTTCATCACAGCCAACATGTCCGCATGCCACTTTCCCGCGGGACAGAGTGCCAGAAAAGCTTGCTCAGCTCCACCTCAAAGGATTTCGTGTTGGACRCTGACCATACACGTTGCAAGACTGGAAGCTGCCACCTTTTGAGACTTTGAAAGGATTCAAAGTCATGGGGGATTGCGGCAAGTTAACCAAGCCCAAGGATGGCGACTAGGACGATATCCACACGAGACGCACAGCACGTTGCATTGGAATGACGCATAGACATTCAGCGACGATATAACTGCTTAGCTCGCCCGAGACAAATGAGGCCTGGATTTGGTCTCATTCATGGACAAGCACAATGAAGCCGGCGCGCAAGCCCATCTCTGAGCGACGGAGACTACAGAATCGATCGGCACAGCGAACCTTTCGTTAGAAGTACCGTCCAACCTTGATCACAGCTCTCGCTGAAGCCAAACAGGTAACAAAAGACTCGATAGTGGAAGTAGTCCTTCAGAAATATCGACCTCCGAAACTCTGCATTTACATCCCACGCCCGATGTGCCTTCGACGGAGTGGAACAGTCAAGAGTCCCTGCTGTGGGAAAATCGCCACAAGGATCCCACAGCTGAATCACTCAACTGGAGCCCGGAAATAAGTGCCTTGGAGGAGCAGGCCTTGAGGCTGTTGGGGAGCGACGGTGGAGACTTTAGTGTAAGCAGTTCTCCTTGGAAGAAGTGTGTGCTTGGCAAGCAGGGGAATACGCTAACAATCACAGTTCTTCATGGACGTTCCAGCGATTAGGATGGACGCCTGCGGCAAAGGTCAAACCTTGGAAGTTCATAACGGCCCACGTCTTCCACCGGTATGTATGACGATCATCAGTGCAGGACAAAAGTTGAGTCGTCACAGGAAGCCACTGCTCAAGGTACAGAGCGGAATCTCTACTCCAGGAAGACAGCTCTTCATCTGGCTGCAGAACGCGGGAACAATCGATCTCTGGAAGTACTATTACAAGTGCCCAACGTGATCATCGATGCAGAAGATGCAGACGGCAATACAGCTCTTCACCTGGCAGCGAATCATGGCCAGCTGCCGGCTGTGCAGATACTTTTAGAGCACGGTGCCAACACTGGAATACACAATGTTTTTGGCTACACACCACTACACTCTGCCGCTGAGAAGGACTTTTACCTGATTATTCAACTACTTGTTGAAATGGGTACGAGCACTGAAGCAAGGATTGATCTTGTACATCGTTAAGTCCCGGCGGCGGCTTCTTCAAAGACATCATTAAACGGGCATAGCATGAGAACGAAGGTCTAGCGAGGGTGTGAAACTTGAGCTTTCAATAGCAAGAGCGATATCCAGAATTTAGCCCAGCGACATGATCGACTGCCAGTCCCAACAGATTTCTTGAAATTCCAGCGCCTCCTTCTACACAACGGCTATCTCTCTCTCCTCGAACCAGAGTCCTTCTCTCTTTGACAATCTACACAGTTGGTGCTCCGCCCTAGCATCCCTCTGGAGGACAGCCACAAAAACCAAGGCCAGTCCCGAACGGGAAATTACAGGCTCCGCAACGTTGTCCATAACAGTCGGTATCCATAGCGCATGCATAGTCACTGCAAACGGCATTTTGGCGAAATTCCATTGGGCTCCTCTGTGATATCAATTGGAAATCAACGATTGTTCCCCGATGTCACAAAGCGGAGAAAGAAGTAAGCATACCTCGCGAAGGCTGAAGCCAGCTCCTGTAGTAGATGTAGGCATGGCCTTTACACCCAGAAGAAAAGTGGAAATGCTGACGGCCAAACATAAAGGGGACCACATATTGGAGGACTTGGGGGGGTAATTCGATTCGTGTAGATGATTTTGTCGGATGGAGAGAGTAGAATAGTTCAACGTTGTAGTCTGTAGTTGACTGTTATATATATCGACTTGCCAATGAAGCGGTCTYGTTCGAGCAATGTATGTGACGTCGAATGTAAGCACCATGCACATAAGCATTCTTGGCTTTTCTATAGTGATGCTGTGGCCTTTTCGAGATCTCGAGACATGTGATCAATCTTCGTTATATGCTCGGCCTGGCTTACTCACTCATAAGCACCCTGCACATAATCAATCCGGAAACTCTGAGGCCTCAAGCTTTTCTATGCTCTGCCTTTGTATCGTTGAGGATCTAGAGGTGCAAACCACCGGTTTCTAGAAAAAAAAAACGGGTTCTAGGAACTTAGAACATGCCGTGGTCGAGACTTTCGAAACCTGAATTACCTAACGCCCGGTTTTGGCGTCTCTAACATCGAACACCCGCAATTGGGGAACCTGCTTTTATAATGTTGAAGAGGAGCGGCGTGGATGGCAGCCGGCAACCTGAGTTTTTAGCCGTCCGGCCGCGACTCATATCTAGCACTAGTCGTTTATTATCAAAACCATTAATTCCATTGATTCCGTTATATCCGTGCCTCCTCTACGTACCGTAGAGGTAGTAAAAAACCGTATAGTAAAGCAGTAAGCGTAAGTAAAGTAAGGTAGTAAGTTAACCTTGCTATCGCTATCGTATTTTATTTATTTTATCTATACTAACTATTAATATTATTATTAAGAACATAGCTAACCTATATAGCTTCGCGGATACTAATCTATACGTCTAGAGCCTCGCTACCGCTCTTACGCCTACTCCTACTACCGCTCCTACTACCGCTCCTATAGCGCCGCCTATACTACTTTAACTTCCTAGCGACCTTAGCGACTTCCGTAAACCTACTATAACTAATACGAAGGACTTCTAGTATATTAGCGACGAGAAATAGGATAGCGCTATAGTTAAGGCCTAGTCTAGTAAGCGCCTTAAGCGTAAAAGCGGCCGTTAAGTCCTTATAAGAGCTAACTATAGAGGGCGCGTAATAGAGACTAAGGACGGTAAGTCTAGCTCTCGAGCGCTCTTATCTAGCTCTTATAGCTAATATTTTAAGGCTTCGACTACGCTATCCCTTACAATATATATCGCCGCCTTAGCTCTTAGCGCTATAGGATGTTTAAGAACGGACTCGGCTATAGATACTATCTAAATAAGGGTAAGACGGCATATAACGCCTAAATTAATTAGACTGTTAAGGCTAAGGTAGTAGAAGATAAGAATAATAAGGAGGCGGTAGTTACTAAGCAGCCTAGGACTAAAGAGTTAAAGGCGCGTATTAAGGCGCTAGAGCGGTAAAACTAGTTTCTAGCTAAGTAGTTAATTATCTAAGGCAAACAGCTTAAGATACTTAAGCGAGCTTTAGCTCCTAGCTAGCGTTTAGGAACTATAGGTAATAGTACGCTTACGGAGCGGACGAGAGTAGTCGAGAGTAGCCTATCTTTCGGCTATCTAAAAGAAAGATAGGAACTAAGAGCGATTTAAAAGGCTAGGAGTAGTCGAGAGCCCTTAGAAGCGGTCGAGAGCTGTTTTTTCTTAGCTAATTACTAGGCTAAGCGCGAATAATACCTATCTTATTACCCTATAATGTTTATAGTATAAGCCTTTTATTAAAGATTAATATATATAGAAAAGTTATCGAAATTTAGTAAGAGCTACTATAAGAGCCTACTAAGAGCCGTATAAAGATCGACCTTACGCCTCCTTTCTTAGTCTAAGCTATCTATTAGATAGCTATTATAGATAGGTACGCTTCCTCGCCGTAGCTAGCTATACTAGCTATACTAGCTATACTAGCTATACTAGCTCTTATATTAGCTATACTAGCTCTTATACTAGCTCCTATAGCTCTTATACTAGCTCCTATAGCTCTCTAATAAGATCCTCGTATAAAAATAGCTTCGATAGTAGCAATTATTTAACCTCCTTCGCCTTTCCCTTCTCGTAGGTAACCTTATCTATTACCCTGTTTATATCCTCCTACTTAATAACTATATACCTATCCCCTAATATTATAACCTCCTTTATTATTACCTTACCTTTACCGTCCTATAGAGCATTTAGCTCTAATATATCCGGAAAGCTATAATCCTCCGGTTTAGAGTTAGAGCTATAGATTAGGATCGGTAGATACTATCGACTAGTCGATAAGGAGCCTTAGCTAGCTAAAGGAGTAGTAGGCCGCTTAATCTTTACCTTAGAAGCGGTCCCTCTAGCCTTAATAAATTCTATAAACGCCTTTATTATATCCTTATCGATAGGCGGAGTAGGCGGAGTAGGCTTAGGCTTAGGCTTAGGCTATACGAGAGTAGGCTCGTGCTCTACGAGAGTAGTAGGCTCGGAGTAGTAGCTTAATAGAGGGCTCGGTAAAGGTCGCTCGGGGCTTAGGGGCTACTAAGAGCCTATAGCGAGAGCGCTCTTAAGGGCATTACTTAGTAAGAATTGCTCGATTAAATCTAAGGGCTAAGGGCTTAGAGTAGTAAGAGCGCCCTTAGAAGCAGGCTAAGAGCGGCTTCGGCTTAGCCTTACTATAGATCTATTAGAGTTAACTTACTAGCCTAGTAGATATTAGAAGCCGTAAGCTAGCGTACGGCTAGCCTCTTCCCTTTCTTATTCCTTAATATAGCCTCTAGGCTTATTAAACTGTTGCTGTTTGTATAGTAATAGTATAATATATATAGCAACCCTAAAGTTCCTCGTAGTTAGCTTTACTATTATACGGAAAGGATTAAGTATAGTAATAATATTGTCCGTAGTAGACGTACTCTTACTAGGGCGTATAGGTTAGTTAGTATTATCGTTATATCTTATAGCAACGTATATGTCGTAAAATAGCTCCTTATAGGCTCTTATAGCGGCTCCTTAATCCTCTTTAATAAGCTAGGTAAGGAACTACTCTAGCCGCTCCTAAGGGGCTCTTACCTTAATTAACGTATTAATATTATCCTCGAAATTAGTAATAATCTATTTATACGGCTCTAGCGGCTCTAAGTACTTAAAAGCTAGCTTACTAGTTATAGTAATCTTACTTAGAGTGTAAATAATAGTAATCTTAAGCCTAATAGGTCCTTTCTCCGCCTCCTTTCGCTTATTTGCTACTATAGCTAGTAGCGTCGTCGGATTAACTATATATTGCTTTAGAGGGTTCGAACTAGCGTTAGTATGCTAGCGCGCCTTCTTTACTATACTAGCCTTACGTATAGGCTCTATACGAGAAGATATTAGAGCGTAAAAGCCTATAGCCGAGGTAGAGGCGGAGGCGGAGGCGGAGGAGGTAGATAGCGTAAAGGGGTTCGAGGAAAGGGGATCGTCGAACTTAAGCTCTTACTACGCTCCTACGGCGCCCTTAGCCTCTCGCTACGCTTCTAGGGCGCTCTTATATCCGTATTACTAGTAAAAGCTATTACTATAGTCGTGCTTCTTACTAGTACGAGAGTAGAAGGGGATCTACGGGGACATAATAATAATAATAATAATAATAATAATAATAATAATAATAATAATAATAATAATAATAATAATAATAATAATAATAATAATAATAAAAATAATAATAATAATAATAATAATAATAATAATAATAATAATAATAATAATAATAATAATAATAATAATAATAAGAACGTATTAATTAATATTAGGTTAGAGAGCATGCTCTACTATAGCGAAGAATTCGACGGTACGACCTCTTAGCTATAGGCCTACTTCTTATCTAGGGCGTTCGAACTCTCTAAGAACCCCGCTATTAGCTAGGTATTTAGCTATCTAATAGCTAAGGAACTAGTAAGCCTATATATAAAGCTTATTGCTATTATTATCTAACTTAGTACTATCGAAAAGCTAAGGAAAGCCCCTAGTAGCTAGCTCCGTATTAATCTATTATATTATAGGCTTAGAGAGGTAGGAAACGAGATCTATATAGTTAGCTAGAGGTATCCGAGAGCGCCTAAGAGCCGGAGAGCGCCTAAGAGCCGTAGCGAGAGCCTTACTAAATTTATTCTTTCGCTTAATCTACTACTATATTGTTAGATTATCCGTATCGAGCCTAATACCGTAGAAGTACCTACTATTTAACTCTGGATATTTATAGAGCTTTCGTAGTATACTAGGGATGTAATTAGGGATWTCGTATTATATACGGATGCTTCTATTATTATAAATATCTATAAATAGCTATACTATAGTACGGATAATAGGGACGTATATTACGAGAAACGTAATACGGTCGCTTTATTCGGCCTTACTATATAAGCTAGAGTTACGTAGGTTAATAAAGTAATCGCGCTACGTATTAATAGCTACTTTCGTAAGCTCGCTCTACTAGTATTCGATCGTGTTATTGCCC